AATCAAGATTAGTAAAATTAGAAATTGCTGGAGTAAATCAAAACATTAAAAGCAACAAAAATAAAAAGACAACAAGTGATTTGTTTATCATGTTGTTAACCCTAAAAAAAATAAACTGTGATTTGATAACGCTTGCTAATCGGAAGCGCGATAACCATATACTAAAAAACGTGAGATACACCAATTTATGAAAAATTAAAGCGGTAACTCAGCCCACTCATTTGGGTCCAAAGAACTGTAACTAATGAATTTTCAATATTCTCTGTGCGCATACACATGCATCTTTCAGCAACTCCAATTATATATTTCAAACGATGTTAAAGGAGAAAAAAAACTACAACAAACGAATAGACCAAAAGTTGAAGCGTCGAAAAACTTTGAGGTCTAAAACAATTCGATTTCTGTCATGACCTCACAACTCGCCGCAAGCAAAAACAACCCAAAAACCATTATGAGCCACTTGTATTGTTTCGAGGAGAAAAAATTGTATTTTATTGGTGAGTTCCGCTTTAAATTAGGATATATTGGCACCAAAGACGTCTTAAGAAAAGTTTTAGGATCAGTCGGCCGAAAATGGAAATAAAGGGGTGGGACTTTTTTGAAGACAAGAGGGTTGAATCTTCAGCCCCGCCCCTAAATTTGCCCGTGACTTCAGCCAATATTACATTAGCCACAAACTATTATCGAAATAAATCGAGTATCGCCTAACAGAAATATATATTAGTTCAACCATTAGAGAAAAAAAAACAAATTATAATAAAGTGATAAAGTAAAATGCAAACAGGCTCAAAAGACTTTTGACGAAATTCTCCAAGAGACTCGTTAACAAAAAATCAGTGATTCTCTTGGTGAATTTGTTTGCTATAGAAAGTCTAGAACGCGTTTGCATAAAACCGGCTGCTATTTGCGAATGAAAACGTTGATAAACTGAGATTGCTTCAATGATAGCAGAAGTACAATTTTAATTTTTGTTTTTCTATTACATCTTAACAAAGAATGCAGCAAACTAAATAGTTTTAGATTTTTGTAGATCTGAAATTATCTTGAATCAAAACTTTTCGTGAAAATGGCATTTTTTTGTTCGAATAATAAAATCGTTTCTGTGAGTTAGCTTGTTTTTCGCCTGATTTTGACCACCTCAAAGAAAGCTCCCGGGGGTCAAAAATGAGTATATTGTTTAAAGCGTAGTATGAAATTTTCTGCTCCCTATAGTCCGTGATTTGAAAACCTGATCTGAATTTTTTGTTTTTCAGACTAATTAAACAGAGCTTTTAGATTATTTTATCAATTATTCAACCATTTTTGGCGTTATACAAAATTCTATTGCCCTTTATCTGAGAAATGTCAATTGAAAAATGAAAAAATTTTAGATGGAAAATTTTGAACCTTTCAAAAATTGTAACTTTTTGATAGATTTTTTTTCCAATTTCAGCTTTTTGGATTTTTCTCTGCCCTTTGAATTTCTCGACTTAATTATTCCAAGCGAATTTCTTGTGTTATTTCCGCAGTAACCGGCTATACTTGTGCTTCTAGTAAGACTTTAATAGAAAATTTTTTTTTTTTTAATTTTTGCTTTCAAAATGAAGCCAGCAGCACATACTTTGACCAAAAAATGACAGTCGAAACAGTTAATGATTTATTTTTATCCAGGAAGGCTCCGCAAAAAAAGAAAGTTATAGCTTTGTAGTCTTTAAGATGTAAAGGTATTAAACATTGTACTGCGAGAACATTGGGAGACAACCTCCTCTGCATAATGTGATATCCTGACTACCCAGAATATCCAACTTTGGTAATGTTTCACCATACGTTGATTTTTAGTTGACCAACAAAAAAACTTAATATAGGCGTCAAAACTTACAAATTTTGATGACTAGCGCACGCCAGAAAACCGCTACTTTTGTCAAAATTTTCCTAAATGCGTCATTTTGTAGCCCGTAATTTGTGAAAACACTCGATTTTTTCTGTTAATCAGAGGTTAAAATTGATCTGCGGTGAACTTTTTTACGCTTGAGATCAAAAGGTTTATCAGGCGGAATACACACTTTTTTCTACGTAAGCACAATCTGTCTAACAAGAAAATCACTTTGAATGTTTAATAATTAAAGTTTCAAATTCCAGGTCTTACGCGGCAGAATTGGCGGAGTGGTAACGTTTATGTCTCAGACGACAAAGTTGCTGCGTTGGTGAGGAGCTGTTACTTCTCTCAATAACTTTTTACTGATGAAAAAAATTGTCGGTCTATTGCTTGTTTGCGTATTTTTTGTGGGCGTAGTTGCCACAGCGCTGACTGTTTGTGCTCTAAACAAATTTCCTTACAATTTACTCCGGTTATTTCTGAATTTACCAGCCCTGAAATTGTACACAGAATCGAAGCGGAGCTTCGAACAACTTGTGATTTCATTTAAACCGTATCATTTGAGGGTACTAGAGAGAAAATCAAAGGAACTCCACTAAAAAGTTCAGTAACTTATAAATTCAAAAACACAACAAAAATTAAAAATTTTTTGTCTAGAATGATGTTCAATTTGAGGATAACACTTCCAGGAAAGCAATAAGTCGCTTTAAATTTGTTTTCAGAAAACTAAGGCGACACCAGTTGATCCGAAAACCGAATTGTTTTCAAGAAAAATTTTGAAAGTTCTGAAATTCTAAATTTTTATGCCCCGTCTCGGGAAACTGAGACCACTAATCCAATAAAAACAAGCCAGAGCAATTGAGGCTAAAAAAACTTCTCAGCGGAGAAAATTTACAAATGAATGTTACCTTATAATTTTACAAATAACAGGAATATATTTAAAAAGAAAGTTGTTTTTTCGATAATTCTTATCGGCCCAATAGCTTGTCTGATTTTCTGTTTTCTAGCTTACAATGCTGTTTTCTTTGCCACAATTTGCGCAAAACTCCTCACCTCTGTTTTTGAAAATCCAACCCTGCCTTCGAGAACTCCTAAATCTGCTCCTACAACAGAAATATACACTATTTCAAAAGAAAAAGTGTAAAAAAAATAACATAGCCAACTGACAGTTGGAAAAGAGTAATGAACGCAGTGAAATTGAAAACCGACTTGTTTTTTTAAATATCTTCAACTTTTCAATTTCGAAAAAAAAATAGATGGAGCTGAAGCTCTTTGACTTTAAAGAACAATTTTTAAACCAATTTTTTTTGGATAAAAATAATTTTTATATTTCGCTCGGAAAAACAAAAATTAAATTCCAATTTCGAAACTCGAAGTCGATCATGTTTTTAGTGAACTTCACACTTTTGCTGTTCTATAGTGGAGTTTGCCTTCCTTTTAACAATATAAATGCAACAAACTTAAAAAGAAATCTCAAGTCAAATCGCGAAAAATGAAAATTGAGCGTGAAAAAACTTTGCTGAAAACAAAAAATTAGCAAGACCTATTAAAGTGTACTCAGTGCGTTCATTACTTTTAAAAAGTACACCGTTTTCACTGAATATAAAATTTCAATTCTAGAAATTAACCTCAGCTCCTTCGAGAAGCAAGACAGACTGAAAAATCTTAAGGAATCTATTTAACCATCTGAAATGTCAGCGAATGATGAAAATTTTTCTGCGGATCAGAATTGTTTGAAACAGCCAATTTGCTGAAAAGTTTAACAACACTGAACTTTAATTATGGAACCTCTTTCCCGATGGGCTGGCTAGTTTCGGATTTTTTATCTGTTAAACGCCAGGCGTTTTATACAACAGTTGGTGCCTTTAAACTGACCTTCCCTTATCAACTTGATTGCTTTATCTCCCGGTTTCGTACTCGCCTAATTTTGATTCTCAGGGCTAATTCCAGATGCTTTTTCTCGTTTTGAGCAACTTCGTTGTGATTTCGGAAGTTTTATTTTGATTGACAAACAATTTTTTGTTTTTATTTTAGACACCATGACAGATTTTTCCGTAGATTTACACTTTAATCGAAGTTTAAATCGACGTGAGCCATAGTTTACTATGTTCAACAATCAGAATTTTACTATACTTATCTTTTTCACTTTTTTCAACTTAGTCCACTTTTTTCAACACAACTCGCAAAGCTAGTGTTCATTTGGTGGCAAGTGTGCTGGCTGGCATCACATTGGCAATTATATGGCATCTTTTGTGTGTACTATATTGGTGGTTAGTGTTAGACGATTGTCGGGCGACCATGGCGCAGATGCGAAGACGTTCAACTCTGGATACAATTTTTTTCAGAAATTTAGAGTCAAACGTCTTCGCATCTGCGCCATGGTCGCCTGACAATTGTCTAACACTAGCCACCAATATATTAGACACAAAAGATGCCATATAATTGCCAATGTGATGCCAGCCAGCAAACGTGCCACCAAATGCGCACTTTGCTTTGCAAGTTGGGTTCAAAAAAGTGGACTTCGTAATATGACCCCACGATCGTTAGCGTAAACACAAAAATACTATCTCACAGCTGATTTCAGACTTTTATATACTTGAAAAAAATCTTAAGTGACATCTACAACTTATTACACCGTTTTGGCAGTTTTATTTTTTTCGGAAATCTGGTCAGAAATCTCGTTCGCACAGTTTGGTAACAGCTCAATGCAATTCGAATGACTATAGAATATCTCAGCCTTCGAATAAAAGATCATGATTTTTGAACATATTCATATCTGGAACTTTTTTTATTTTCTTATCTGAAATCAGGCCGATTTTTTTGCTTCAATTTTTTACTGTTCCATAGCTCATGTGGTTCCCGGGAACATTTCTTGATTTTTGTTTCGGTCGTATTTATAGAAGAAAACGAGTTACACTTCAGCTGAACTATGGGCTTGTATTTTATTGGAAAGTGACATGACTAAATTCTTGATTAAAAGCCATAAATTGAGGAAAAGCCAGCGAGACAAACGACCCAAATAAGTGTCTTTAATGAGCTCAGAAACAATTAGAGGAAAAATTATTCTTGAAAAATTTAATTTAACGTGTTTATTAAAAAATTAAAAAACCATCAATTTACAAATTAAAACAGATAAGATATTTTATTAGGAATTAAGCAACTTTATCGCATCAGCATTTTTGAGGCACTACAAAAAATATTTCAATGGTTCAAACAGTAAAACTGATCCAATAATGCATAGCGAAGACATGTTTCAGAAAAAAAAATGACAATTTTTTGTTTCAATATCCTTCAATTTTTGGCACTGGGCAGATTGAACCAGATCAAACAATGCTATTAGCAGCTCAGGACTACAAGCATAAACACAGCTATCAAATTTAAGGTCTTAATGCTCATTCATAATAAATATTATAGAATTTATGTTCCAACTTCTCTGAAGTTTATATGTTTAGTGCTCATTGCATGTTTTTGAGCATCCGATTGTCCTTTCAGGAGCTCGTTGCAAATCATGCATCGCAGACTGAAACTGGCCAGATTAGTGAACTTGTTCAACTTCTTCAAACCTTCAGCGAATTTAATGCACGCCTGTTCCACTTGTTGGTCCGATACACAGAAGACAGATTTGTGAGGAGCTTGAAATAGAGCGTCGTAGTGTATTCCGTCGTAAAGGAGGTAAACACATTGCAAAAAATTTTCGGAGCAGCCGAATTTGTCAACTCTGTTTGTCTGAACATCAACTAAAAAAAACCTGAATGATTGAGAAGAGCAGACAAATTAATACTTAATTTCAAAAATGTTTGAATAATTTTGATCAATTCTCATTCTCGACTTTTTTCCATATTACGAAAATAATGCGAAAACTTTCATCTTGCATTTTCAGAGAAGCGTGCAAGAAAGGTTGGTATCATCAACTATTTCTGGCAATAGAAAGCAATTTTTTGACACCTATCATAACTTACCGATTCTAACTTCCATTTCGAAGTGGTCTGCAAGAATAGCTGCTTCTATCGCCCCTCCCCAGCTCTGTGGGTTGCGAATGAACTTCTGATACTCCGTAACATCACTTCCCAGCACCTCAGGGGGATACTTGGATCTCTTTGCGGCTACTGTCGAAGCTATGAGATCTCTTAGCTGCTGATGAGTGAACAGATTTTCTCCTGTGTGTGAATAGGCGAAGCAGAAACTGTTGAAAAGACACGAGTTGTCAGCTGGGATCACTTTGCGTGATATTGAAACTGCATTTGAATTAGCACCTGGACACCGAAAACGTTTGAAATGTTTAATTAAGATTTGTTTGCAAGCCATATGGTTTTCCGGATAACCATCGCTTCTTTGGGAAACCACTTTGTTTTAAAAACAAACATGAACTATGCTCGAAAAAATCGTTTGTAGATGCTGTAAATTTCCATGTCTAAAAAATCCCATGCTTGAGACAAAAAAAACAATAAGACAGGAACACAAATAGAGCAAAGAAAGCAAAAGAGGTCCAACAACCTTCGGCCTCTATTCAACAGGCTTTTAACTTTTACTCACCAATACTATTTGTAGAAGCACCATTTACTTCATCAATCTTTCTCTTCACCCCATTGGAGGCCACTGGTTCTTTTTTGCTGCTCTGCTCCACTATTAATGTATCGCCCGATTTCACATACACTCCAAGTTCAGAACCATTCTCGGTTTCAACAAGGACCTTGGGTGGGAATCCGCATTTGATGACAAGACTCCCGGTGTCAACTGATAGTTTCTGAGACAGAAGTTTTCTCAGGTCCAAAATCGAATCCGAAGGGCTCAGAACGTCCAGCGAGATTAACCCCTCGCTAGTTTTGGCACGCAATCGTAACGTCATTCAGACAAGCACCAGATAAAATTTGTAAAAAAATAACTGAATGAACGGCGTACAAAAATAATCTAAAACACAGCAAAAAATAAACTTCACGAAAATTCGAATTTGCAAATACAAGCTCAATAAGATCAACTTCAACCATCTAACTAAAGAAAAACTTCAACATACGAAAAAAAAACATAGCAAACAGAGTTGGAACAGAGTCAATGAACGCAAACAAAAAAACTACCAACTTATTTTTTGAAATCTCAATTTCAGATTTCGAAGAAAAAAATAGATGACCTCAAATCTCGTTGAATTTATAGATATACGAAAATTAAATTCCATTTTAAAAACTAGAAGTCGAAAAGTTTTTGTGACCTTTACACTTTTGCTGTTCGATAGTGGAGTTTGCATTCCTTTTAAAAAAGGAAATGAAGTGAACTTTCAAAAAAAATTCAAAAGTTAAACCGCATAATAATATTTTTGAGCCTGAACAAATTTTTAAAATTTTCATGAAAAGAAGGGAAAAAATCATCGCGACTTATAAAAGAGTCTGAAATACGTTCAGAGACTCTTAAAAATTCAACCGACATTCTTATGAAAACAAAAATTCAACTGATATGTTTATAGTCAAATAAATAATGCATCCATAATACCGAATAGCTTGCTTCAATTGAACCGGATTAATTGGCTTCTTGCGCTACGCATTAATTCAAAACTGAGAAATATGAGTATTAATTAGGTCGAACTGGCTATTTATAAAACCACAGAACTTTGAGAAAACTGATCAAAGAAAAATATATTTCTAATACAGAGCTCGTGAGCTCAAAATTGAGTATTCACAAGGGGGCGAAGCAAAATGTTGTTTAGAATGATGATCGAAAAAAAAATGTTGTATAGAATGATGTTCTATTTGCCTAAAACATGCCTAGAAACACAATCGATGACGTTAACAATTCCAAAACAATTATCTAGCAGCAAACCGACAAAACTTGGCTAAATTCCCATAGAACCGAAAAGAAATTGTTGCCATGAAGAACTTTAACTATAAATTCTATTCTAAGCTTTTTTTTAGCATTTTGTTCGAACCGTGAAGAAGCACAAAAACTATGATTCCCTTGAAACAACACAAAATTAGGTCAATTAACCGAGAAAACAAGATGAAATCACTTAGGCCAAAAAAGAAAATATACCAATTAAGATTAAAAGTATTTTAAATTGCAGGAGTAAATCATAAAAGTATTTAAAATTGCAGGAGTAAATCAAAAAATCTAAGATGTGGCAACTGAGCCTACAAAACATAAACAGACAAATAATAGGCCAACAATTTTTTTGAAACAAACTTTTTGCCATTTGAAAAAAAAAGGTCCTGGTCAGATTATAACCCAGGACCTTTTTTTTTTTTTTTTTTTTTGCCCCCGGCCTGCTCAGTGCAGGACCAACCTTGGGGGAGGGGGAGATGTCATCCATTTTGCCGCAGCCGGTCCCACCTTGAGGAGGCGGATGACACTGGGACCCCTCCAGCCGTGACCGAAGCGGGATTCGAACGCACGACCCTCGTGTTAAGAGAGATGTGCCTAACCCACTTGACCACGACTGCTCTTGACCACGACCCAGGACCTTTGCCTTCCCAGGCGTATTCGTTAACTCCAGACTAAAGGTGCTGGTTTGTTTGAAAAAAAATTATCATCTCATAACATAGCCAAGAGATAATTGGAAAAGTGTCAAAAAACTCCAGTAAAAACAAAAAAATACATATCATTCAACTATCGGAGAAAAAAATATGACAGTAAAGCTCATTGATTTTCAATATTTTTATACGACTGTTTAACACAGAGATGAAGCTACGCTTTGCAAACAATAGCGAGATATTCGGCTACGCCTCGGATTCGATCTGCGACCTAGATATTATGAGTCTCATGCATTAACCACTCAGCCGCGGACGCATAATAAATCACAAAAACTAGCCACAAGTGAAGCAGAGAACCTATGTTAAGAAATTTCCAATGCTACAGATCGTGATTATAGCAAATAAGTTAACACTTCTAGCAAACCCAATTAGAGAAAAAAAGAAACATGTTATCTCTTATCATGCTGGAAAAAAGTCCAGTTTTAACCATGCATTTTTTTGCACCATTCCCACTTTCTTTTTTGATCATTGCAATTTATTCTCCTTTTCAGCAAATGAACTTGAATTGACCTTAAACCGAAATAAAAAGTCAGGCCACGAAAATTCACCAGTCCGACAATATTTAGGTAGACACCAGTTGAGCCCAAAAAAAACAATGTCACGGAAAATTTTGCGAACCATTTTTGAAGCACACATAAGAATAGCAATCCATCAAACAATCTATTATTGTATTTTAAACGACGCTCATTCAATTAAATAGTCGATATAGATAAATTATACCCATTTAAGCAAAAACCAAAAAATGAAAGATAATTATACAAAATCAGATTTGGTTAAGTTAAAAACTACAGAACGACTTTCAATTATCGTTACAAATACTTGAATAATAAAACTACTGATGCTTTTTTAAAAAAATCTATGCTTTGGACAGTAAGCCGACAAAGAATAATTAGACAAATGATAATAGGCTAATTCAAATTTTCCCAAAAAAGCTTCCAGGCATCGAAAAAAACAAGGTCTGGCCGGAAATAGAAACCCCAAAATTTATATTCAGAAGGCGCATGCTTTACCTCCAGATCAAGTGAGAGGGGCCTGAATGTTGCGATTCCACAAATGTGAAGGGGCTTGAAATTTGTCAAACGTGTTGCATTTTCTTCAATAATACAAAATATATCTGGGGGAAAGCATTACTTTAACTTTTGACACTAATGGAAAGTAGAAACCGACGTGAGTTCATGTCCGGGGTGGCTTTCTCATAAAGTAATTTCGGATAAGGTACACCGTCTATTCGTCATCTTAGTTTCGTCCGGATAGATTCTGTCTAATACCGATCCTAATCTTTATCTTATATCTCCTAGTCTCAATAGATCTAGTGTATACTGGTCCTGCGAGGTTAGGGGAGAGAAATAGCAACTGCTTTTTAAGTTAAATTTCTTCTTCTCTAAATAGTTTAGTCTTAAAAATTATTGTAAGTTTTAGTCATGGATCATGATTGGTTAGTCCTAAGTATTTAACAGTTATAGTTATCAAGAATATAATTATATATTTAATACTTGTTTTCAACTGGTTCTAAAAGATTCATTATTCCCACAAATTCACGAAGTAAAAGAGCTATGGCGTAGCGTGAGTTTTTTCTTCCTGATTGTGACTAACTCGAGAGAATCTCGGAGAATTCCAAATTACATTTAAGCTCTTCAAGCCGTGATTTGAATTCGACACAAATTGTCTGTGTCGAGAAAAACGGGTCTGATTTTTTCCGAGTTTCAGATCAAATGCACGAGATTTCGTGTCGCTGAAAACTCCATTATGATTAAATTCAATTGGCGTCTACTACGTTATTTCAGCTAAAATTATCTTATTTAACATAATTTGCTCGCCTTGACTCAAAAAATGTTCCCCTATTTTTGAATTTTTTATTCAAATCATTGCGGTCGGAACATTCTGCGCTAGTTGCACAGCAACCACCTATCCTTGCTTTAGCTTAGGAACCAACAACCAGCCGTTCAAAACTTACTTTAGGAAACTGAAGTTTCGAATAATTTATGGTTAGATACATCTAACAGATCTAAATATAAGATGAAGTTGAATTGACATTCAGTACACTATCTCAAGTTCAATCTTGGTTATTGGACTGTAGCTTCAACATCTGTCTGTAGATCCCTTTAGGATTTGTTTTCTCATCCATCAACTGGGAGTGAGATCCTGCCTCTTGGATTTTACCACCCGGACCCAGTACGATAATCTTGTCTGCATTTTTTATTGTGCTCAATCTGTGTGCGATGACCAAAACTGTGAGACCATTTGATACCTGAAGAAGATTTTCAAAAATAAAGTAAAAAATAACGACAAAAACGCAAGTAATTGACAACCTTGTAGATAAATGGTTTAAATAAACTCAAAACACTCAAACTTGCCGGCAAGTTTCCTCATGATTAGACTGTAAATTTTGCTCAAGATTTCTAACGATTGATGAGTGTAAACTAGATAATGAAGAAAAACACGACTTTACTGATATTGTAGTTCAGCACCATTATAACACCGAGACTATGTTTCTAAGCTGACCTCTATCATTAAATAGTTTTACAAATTCTTTCAAAACTCTCGGAAGCCAACAAAAAATTCCAAGTGATGTCTTCAATTTATTCTTTTAAACTGTGCCTTTATTAAAAATAATGTCTTTTTATGTCGTGATGTCCAAAATTCCAAGTGATGTCTTCAATTTATTCTTTTAAACTGTGCCTTTATTAAAAATAATGTCGTTTCTTTAAATTAATTCATGTCTTCAAAACATTCGCCCATATAACTGATCTTAAAAAAATCTTACGCTGTCCAGGGTTTTCTGCACCGTGGCTTCTGAGGCGGAGTCCAAAGCGGATGTGGCCTCGTCTAGAATGAGTATCTTTGGGTTCTTGATGAGTGCCCTGGCTATGGCTATCCTCTGCTTCTGACCTCCGCTAACTGTCACTCCACGTTCTCCTGAAACAACACTATACATCATTTGGTTATTGTTCCGACCAGTCTCCACACAGCGGGAAGGAACTATGGCTTAGTGTAAGTTTTTCAGATAAATCAGAAACGACAAAAGCATACACTGTATCATGTTCAGGGTTGCAACACGACAAAAGCAGCTCTATCAAGTGAAATAAGAAAAAGTAAAAATTATGCAAATAAAAAAAATCATATCAAGAGATATATTAAGTCAGAAAAATTATGAATTCGAGTTTTTACACAGAGGCGAAGTTGCACTTCGCATAAACAAGCAATAAAAGGTCAATAACGCTACTGGGAAAAACTGAATCAGTAAAACTTTGAGTCTACAAAATTTCTTAAGTGACACACGCCAATTATGAGTCTACATAATTGCTAACTTACGCAAGCCAATTATGACGCATTAGCAGTACCAGAAAATTTGAAAAAAAAAGAAATTTACCAACTAAGTGCCTGAATTTATAGAGCGGACGCATTTTAACTAATATACAAAAAAGTTCAATTAATACATATCAGGTTCCAACCCTCTTATTTTGTTGCTGGCCTCATTCCCTACCTCTATGGCACAGATCCATGATACCTTGAAGTGCTATTTGTAATATACTACCCTGTGTTAATATCGTCAGCATTGGCTGTACTTAATAGCTGGTTATTGATCAAAATGAACACTTTCAAAATGAACACATTGTGTCGCAACAACATTTGCGATTTGGTTGATTTTTTTCGGTTCATTTGATGAATTAGAAATGCATCAACTGGATTAAATTAATTTTATGCGAATGTCAAAGGACAAGCTATCAAAAAGCTGTAAAGGTGCCCCAAAAGTGGCACCAATATTTGCGAATTAGGTTGGAAAAAAAAAGAAAGTTCGTACTAGTACACTTTGCTTAGCAAGTATAAACACGTTTAACACTGTGTTTAAAACACTGAATAATTTAATGTTTAAAACAACTTCCCTTGATTGGCAATTCAAGACAAACATAAAAAGAATTGAAGTAGCAAAAATGAAAAATGTTGAAAAAAAAACTAGGCCTACCAAAAGTTCCATATGGCTCAATGAAAGATCATTCGAAGCGAAAATGCCGAGCAAAACTTTTGAATATTAAATTAGCAACGGAGCAAAACTTACAAAGCAGAAACGAAGAGGACAATCTTTGACCACACGCCATGTGAGCCAAAAAAATAGATTTAACAAAACAAAAATTTAAAAGTGTGAAGCCCCCTTGAAACTACAATGCACAACACTTGCAACTACAATGAAACTTGCTTACAGTGCAAGAAAAATCAGTGATGTTTCACCTAAGCAGACAAAAACTAAGCAAACAAACGAAAGACCGACAATTCAATTCTCTCGGAAAAAAATTACCGGACTCAACCCTAGACCTTACGGTGCAAATGCGACCGCTTTACCTCCAGGCCAAGAGGGAAGGAACCAATAAATTTGGTTCAATAAATAAGCAACTTCAATTTCTTACAGATTTTAAGAAAAGTTGATGAAGGAAAAAATTTTGGTTTACGATTACAAGACACTTGCTCTCGCAAGTTTCATAACTTCGATATATTGATCCTGTTTAATTAACGTACAAAAAACTATTCTTAAAAAGCTTACTTGGTGTCCAAATTTTGACTTTTTATAAGCTAAACAACATAATCGCACAACCTAGAACAGTGTCGAATCCCTGGGGGAAATTCTGCACGAAATCGTATGCATTGGCCTTCTTCGCAGCAGCAATCACTTCCTCGTACGAGGCGTCTGGTTTCCCAAAGCGGATGTTGTCTGCTATGGAAGCCGCAAACAACACTGGCTCCTGACTTATGTAGCCAATCAGACGTCCACGCAGCCACTTGGCAGGGATTTCCCTAAAGAAACGAACTAAGATGTAAAATTCTGTTTTCTTTGCTGGTCATTTTCATTCATCTTTTTGAAAAACTGACAGCAGAAGACCGATAGGAATAATAAATTGAGCTCAATTTTACCAATGATGATTAAAATTAGGCGGATAAAGTTACTGAAACTTAGATGAGTGTTTTCGAATACATTTTAAATAAACATGAATTTATGCGAGCAATTGGCCGTCCCCTACTTTTGTAAGCCTCATAACACCACAAATAGCTATCTTTCTAGATAAGAACGCAATAAATTTGCCAGTTTGTTGGCTGATAAAGTCTATTAGGCTAAATTTTCAGATAAATCTAATTTGATTAAGAAATGGCACCTGATATTGATGTCGTTGATAGCTACCTCTCCTTCTACTGGGTCGTAAAATCTTTCAGCCAGAGCTGCAATTGTAGATTTTCCATGTCCCGAGGATCCAACCAGCGCTACTGTGGTACCTGGATTGACTCGGAAAGATAGATCCGATATCACGGTCTGGTTCTTTCTCGTCGGGTACTCGAAAGTCACTCGTTCAAACTGGAGCGACGGAGGGGCTTCGACGTCCATGATAAAATTCGGATCTTCTTTGTAAATCAAATTCGGCTGCTCGTTTATAAATTCAAATACACGACTGCCTGACGTGAGTCCTCGGACTACTTGACCAAAGAGAAGAGAGATCTGAGCCATTGATCTCTGAATCATCTGAGTCGAAGTTAGGAAAGCTATGAGGTCTCCGTGAGTTACACTATCACTCATCAGAAGTTTTCCTCCACCGTACATCACAGTTAGCACCAGTGAGTTGAGAACGAAGTTTGAAGCTCCTTGGAAGAGGGAGATACCTGCGCCCAATTTCCATAAAGCATACTCCGACTTGTTAGCTTCTGCTTCAAAAAGAGCAGTTTGTTGATCCTCCATGGCAAATGCACGGACTGTTCGGACGTTACCAAGTGACTCGTCTGCCATGGAAACTGCCCTAGATGTAACAGTTAAGATTGCCCTTGGTTCAAAAATTTTAGACTGCATTTTGACAACGAACGATCCACCTTACTTCCTCAAGGATAATGAGCTACCTTGATAGTAGCAGAAAACTTTCAAATAATTTTTGCTACATCAAGTTCTATTGATGTTATGGGTAAAATATTGATGTTTCAGTCCGACAAACTAAGAAGGGAAAAGCAATACAAAGGTGGCATACTTCTCTAGTTGATATTCGGCCTGTCTGGACAGAATCCGGAGTAAGTGTCCAAAAATTGTGCCACTGATGACCAAAACTGGCAGCACAACCGTCATCAGCGCCGTCAGATATGGTGAAATTTTAAACATTGAGATCACACAGCCTCCTATTTGTGTAACTCCTCTGAGACCCTAAAATTTGTTTGAAAATATGAGAAGTATTTTTTTTAAAACTATGTTTCGTTTTCAGCAATCAACCCGAAGACATCGCTGCTTCAGATTTAAGAATTGCTTACATGCGATATGCACTGCTTGAAGCTACTTTTGAACGACTGCACGTCATTTGAAAGCCTGCTGATAAGCTCTCCCGTTTTGTGCCTGTCGAAGAATTCGATATCTTGGTTTACTAATGAGCGAAACATCATGACTCGCAACTTTGCCGCAATTCTCTCGCCCGCAACTGATAGCCAGTTGATATACAGACAAGTACAGAGAGCTTGGGCAGCGTAGATGCCTAGTAGTCGCGCAGACGGAGCAAGGAGACTCTCAACTGTCTGTCCAGAGGAGGAACTCAGCGATACCAGTTGATTACTCAGCTGACCTAGCTGGATTGGGATAAGTATGTTGAGAGTCGCGGCACAAACTGCAGCAACAATTGCCAATATTAATCGTAGGGCCTCCCCTTTCAGGAGGCTGAGGAGCAATCTTTACTAAAAAAGCGGTTGAGCAATTGATTTAGACAATGTAATTGAGCAAAATTGCAACTAAATACAGATAAATAACACTTTATTCAGTGCAGTTCAGAACCAACTTTGAGAAGCTTACTTATAGAGTTTTTCATAGAGAACATAACTGTTTTCTTACTTCCAATCAAACTCGGGTTTTCCATATTCGACTAGCTTAGCGTTGTCACAAGATGGAGAAGAAACCGTCTCGACCCTCGAGCGAAGACACACAGCTGATTTCGTCAAGAGAAGATACCCAGATGCGCCTGCCGATACAATTAGAAGAGCGCTCCCAATGTCATTACAAACCTTTCGCATGGTTCTGATAGTCGGCTTCATTTGAGTGAAACAGTTAAAACACTTTGGTAAATACAATTTGCCAATTTCTGGAGTTGTAATGTGTCCACGAAACAATTTCGATTTCCAGATGGGTCTGACAACATTTGGGAATCTGCAAATCATAGCTTTCTGAAATCAAAAACAGCTATTACAGGAATAGCAGAAAATTTTGTCATATTCGCGGTCAACTCTTCATATATTTATCAGTGGAATCCAATCTAACAACTTACTTTTCTAAAATTCATAAACTTGGTCTTGTCGATACTTACCAAATAATAATTTATTTTGCGGTAATCAACTAGGCGGTAGAAAACGAGCTGGCCACTGAAAGGTATCTGCCAACAACTTGCGAAATAACACAAACATAGCATGCCAAACTAGCAGAAGTTGAGACGAAAGCCGAACAAAAATTAGAATAAGTTGCGAAAAGCTAGATCTGCAAAAATGTTCATATCTTTGTCTAGAATAATGTTCATTTCAACAAAAAAGTAAGACAAATAAAAAATATGAAGTTATATTCGCATAGAAGCAAAGCTTTTCTATTAAAGCCGACAACTTCTGGGCAGACACCCGTTGAGCCAAAAAAAATCAAGGTTTTCATTTAAAAAAATTAAAAACTTTCGAATTTTCGAAAATTAGTTCTCAAAATAGAGACCCGCATAGGAAACTTGTTAGCTCATCCAGCGATGCAATATGATGCCACTAAGCTGATTATTATGATGCAAAAACTTCATTTGGTTTATTTCGGTTGCTTGATCCGACTCAATTCAGTGAAAAAAGCAAAGACTGACTCAATGATATTAAAGATTGAAAACGATATAAATAAAGAACGAACTACTGCCATTAAAAATAGAGTGCCATTCCGCCAGCTCGAAGGCACGTTTGAATCCCACGAGCAAACAGAGAGTTAGTTGCGTTAAGAACGAAGATAAGACGAAAGGAGGGTCAAAAGATATTTGAAGAAAGTTTTTGAAAAATTCGATTTCAGACCCAAAATTGCTGGGAACTAACAAAATTGTAAAAGACGTTCACCCAGGCCACATTTGAGGTTAAGAAAAATAGACCCTAAAACAATTGGCTCAAGGCCCTATAACCATTACACTATAAAGATAATTTTGTTGGACCTCTTTGGCCTTAAACTGGTCCAAACGGCCTTGCGCCGAAATCTTTTGGTTCACAAGGTCCAAAACCACAAACCAGAGTTTCCAGGTCCAACTCATTCATTCCACACTGTATGGACCAGGAATCATTTGGTCCACACGGTCCTATACCAGACTCCTTTGGTCCACGCGGTCTGAATCAGGATTCTGTCTGTCTAAATGGTCTTAAACCGGATTCACTCGGTCCACAGAGTCTGAAACCGGATTCATTCGGTCCACATAGTCTGAATCCGGAATTCTTTGGTCCACAAGGTCTGAAAACGGATTCACTCAGTCCACAACATAGTATTTTCTGGTCCACACGGTCTGAACATACCATATTCTGGTCCCAAAGGTATAAACATATTAAATTCTGGTCCACACGGTCTGAACATATAAGTCAACATATAACCACGACCTTGACCTGAGGAAAACCATTAGGTCGAACTAAAAAAAATTGAAACAACTGTCCCCCTAGAAAAAAGCTTGATCCGCCCCTTAAATAAATCATCATTAACGAAATCTCAATTTAACAGGTCCCTTTGCCGCTTAAGGAAATGTGGCTAAAGGGGTTTCACAGAAAGTAAAATTGTGTGTTTACAAGTCAGCGGTTTTACCACTTATTGTAACATTCGCCCGGAAGATACATATCGACGGATAACAAAACTAAGTCTTAAGACGACTGGCTAGCGTCTAAACAGAGCTTTGCATGTTTTTCACCGTCTCTACCAAGCCAGTACTTTTCGGTGGTCTTTTCCAACATCGGGTCGACAAAAACGTTACTATTCTCCGGCTTCGACCAGAACGCTCAAATTAACTGAAATACATGCAAAAATAGTGAGCTCATGGCTGGGTCTCAGTATCCCAGACCACGAGGTCACTCCTAAAAACAGGGCTACTACTTATTATATTACTATTGTTTTTGTTCAGTAGATAAAAATCATCATCTCCATCGAAGATGGATCAACCATTTCCCCCCCTCTTCTAGCTCCTCATTCTTGTCAAAACGAATTAAGATCTTAATTAAATTCAAGTCAGGACATGACGGGATGCTAAAATTTTATCAGAGTTAATAAAAGTCTCCGTCCCGAGACCCTTCCGGTTTCTTGAATCCGCCGAATCAAGCTCCTTAATCTCAAGTTCACGATAACTCGGAAGGCTGGTTTTCACCCTTCACCGTTGTTCGCAACGGCCTTGCAACTATTGTAGCAGCACAATAGTTGCAACTCGGAACGCTCTCTGCTATTCTGTAGTTCGTTGTCGTTTTTCAATCTCGATTTTCGTACTGTTCGCAATCGCAGATAAAAGTTGTTCTGTTTTTTCACTCATTTTCTGCTAAAATGGCCGTTTCTGTCAGAAATGTTACGTCATCACTTCGAAAATTTAAAATTTTAAAATACGGGAATATCTTGACCTTCACCGTTCTGCCAATCATCCGAATAACGTCGTTAATCCTTCAAAACCATTAACTCGGAAGGTTCACTGCTAAAATCCCGAATTCTGCAGAGACTGCATTTTGGCCATTCTGGTCGAATGTCACATACTCCCCGGACAGTCCGGTCAATGTCCTCATTGAATCGCGCAATGTTCATAAAATGGTTACAGTGCCTTCGAACAGAATTTACAAAATGCACGGAATTACTTTTATCCACGTCATATCAACTCACTGCAGAATATAAATGGCATCATACTACATCACTATAGCCTTCAAATTCTTTCATTAATCTGCACATTGAGAATATGACCTAAGATAAAACATGTTTTCTGACTTCCAGTGTCTATGTCCCGATTAAAACTTTTTCTCTTAGATTTAAAAGTTGTTGGCTTGCAGGACAGTCCTGCCAACCAACAAGCTAAAATTATCCTACTATGCTCCTTCCCTTCGGAAATTATGCTTGTTTATTGTCCTGAATATTAAAACTAAGAAACTTTGTGGTTAGAAAGAACAATGTAACAACCTCCCTCTTCAAGAGATTACTCAAGTCTTTCATGTCACCACAAAGTGATCAGTTTTCCTAAGTGATTAAAAACAATCATGCAGGCTGGAATATTTAAATATACTCTTCTCTTAAGCCTTTCTAAATAAATAATGAGTGTCTCTAAAGCCACTTCTGCTAAAATCAAAATGCAAATTTATAAATGCAACAATTTCAGAACTCAACAAAATGTTTCAGTTTTCAATTACAACTTGGTTGCTTGGTTTCTCACTTGAGTTTTTCACACACAAAACAATTCTGAGTTTTAACTTTTCTGCATCATTCCTTTGTTCTCTTCTTTTTTCGTCGTTTAGAAGTTCTAAAACTTCTAAATTCTTCTAATTTTTTTTCTTGTTGCCTCTTGTTTTCTCGACCATTCATCAATATTCCATTTCCTCCTCCTGCGATGCTGACTCCGCACTTTCGGTTTCCGTGTCTTGTAGCACGTCGTTGACTATCCTGACGCTGTTGGAAGCCGTCCTCCAACACTTCTGCTCTTCTACCCTCTGTTTACAACAAGGTAGGGGATCCACGTTGGATTCTCTGTTTCTGCAGAAGCTGTTGTGGAGACACAACGTCACGTTTCTCTCTAGATCTTCTTTCAGCATCTCTGCTTTCTCATTTCCACTACGCTCACTCGTTCTGGAAATTCTTTTCACAGCGGTGGTCACTGCATTCCGATGAGTCACAAAAGCTCGCTTGAAAGCTCCTGCCCCAATGTCCAGCTGATATTCACTGTACACTCTGCCATGTTTCGACATATGCTTTTTCGCATACTCGTACAACCACGCAGTCATGTTAGCTCTGAACCATGGCATCAATCGTTTCCTCGCCCATATCTTCTTCACTTCCATCGGAATATTCAGAACTTTACACATTGTCTCAAAAAGATCTAAATCTTTTAGACAATCCAATTTCTGCAATTGTTCTCTCGTCGGTGCCTCCTGTCTATTGTTTCCTCTCACGTGAGCTTCCAGCCATCGTATCGCCATCATAACTCCCACTATCACTATTGTTACGGGCTGTGATGAATCTGGTAAACCCATGGAGAGCAGCTCTCCAGAGTCCCAGATCAACATCAGATTACTACGCTTCGGATACCACCAGGTCTGCAGCAAGCAGTGGCAAGGAAACTCATCATGCGTCAACATGATGCTCCTCCAATTACGTTTTCCCGAAGCTTCCAGCAATGGTTCCACTTCCATCATCACTCGGTGGATTTCATCATTCTCATCTACTGCATTGTAATCTGTGACAGTTGATCCTTTCTGCCTCTGTTTTTCAAAGTCACTGAAGTTCCCGCTTACATATCCCATGAACTTCTTTCCCAATATTGACTCCAACTCTTCTTTGGTTCTCTCTGGAACTGCTGAGAAAATCTTACACAGTAACTCGTAAGACTTTTCAGACATTCTTGCCAACCTCACGCACTTCGGCACTGAAAAGGCTTGATCCACAATCGCTCTTGTACTCTTCACGTCCACAGCTACGAAATGTACAGGATACCTGCTCTTGCACATTGGAGCCAACGTTGAACCTACCAAATATCGTGCTCCTGCTGGTCTACAATAAGTTTCGCTGTGTCTGATGTTCATTTCTGTTTCGATTGCCTCCCTCCATTTTCCTATGTACTTCTGCTCAGTCTGCAGAACTCCTGGGAATACTTCTACGCTGACGGCTGTGACCATCTCATGTTTCTGTTCTAGATTCAATAGTGACTCTAAAGAACCAAACATGCTGTAGAATCCTAGTGCAGTCACTAGATTCACATCAGTTCCTCCATGGCAATCTGCTATCAGTTCCGTTTCCGTTCTTGCTTTCATCACTACATTTCCAAACAATACCGTCAATTGCTTATGTTGCTTCTCCAGGGTTTTCACACAGTCTAAACTTCCACAAACGTGACCCTCCAGTCCACAGACTTCCGCCAGACAGCTACCAGGTTTTACCCAGTCTTCTGGTCCCCAGCCAGGCAACTCCACTTTATCTTCTCCGTTGCACTTAGAGGCTGTTATCATCACATTATACATGATGTTAAGGTCACGCAGGTTACAGTCTGCACTCAGTTCCCTCTGTACTT